GCTCGGTCAAGGTAACAAGTGTATTATGAAAATCATGCTAATATCGGTTAATACAAATTCAATATCGTTTTCCTATTCTACATTTAAGGGCGCCTTTTGACAAGCTGATCGTAACTTTTATATGGATGCCATGCGTAGCGTCAAACTCGTCCGAAAATCTCTGAACTGTCAGTTTTATACAACCGATTTCTTGCATCGGTGGTTAAAAATGGTTTCACGTGAGTGAAGCTTGTGGGCCTCGGCGAGAACCATACTTTCTCGAACCTCGTAGACTGGCGCTACACAATCCCAAACAAAGAACTTCACCAGATAACAGAAACTAAATTTTGAAGTCTTTCAACAACTAAAATGAATAGCATGAATAGAGAATATAGACATAATGGAGATGCCGACCTTCCACATGACCTCAAACAAAAGGCAAGGAAGGAAACACCCTCGATAATAGAAAGAGCACTAAGAGCTACTGAACTTGAGAAACCTATTTTCCTTAAAAATTGTTTGATGAGAAAAATTTTATGAATTTCAATCGACAGTAACATTAACTGTTCGGTGAACGAATGCCGAATGTTTCCTTATAAGGAAAAGGCTAATATTACCAATAACATTACTATTCAGGATCATTGAATACTGAAACTGAATCGTTCATACATAACATTTCTATATTCAACAGCAGCCTTCTTCAATTATTCTCGGCCATTGTGAATGTACGTTTCCCGTAGCGCCCTCATACGAACGTGAGCTTTACATGCTCGTCTGTATTGTCTGAGAGACTATATTTAGTCGTCCCCCCTCCCATGTGGCACAAGGCCTTTTTAACGTGGGCATTTCCGAGCCATTAGGCTCGGCCAAAAAATAGCCCATTTGAACCCGTATAAACGGGTTCAGGGCCGGTTTTACCTCCCCGAAGGAGACTGCGTCCTTCGGCGTAGCTTCCTTCGGGTTCCTCTCCGTCCGTAGACAGAGAGTTGAACCGAACCGTCGCTCAGAAAGTGAACGACGGACTGAGAGTCTCTGAGAGACTGCCCCCTTACTGCTGGGTGAGTGCTTATATACCTGTCTCTGTCATGATGCTCTGTCTCCCGCGGGCTTTCCAGGTGAATCACGTGGGTCTGCACTCAACGACAAGGAGATCATTTCAGCTCCACCTTTCACCTGGTTTCTCATAGGGTCACGAAGTGCAAAGTCTACTCTGGTGTGATTTGGACTGCGGCACATGCGACATTGGTTTCAATTTAGAACTGTCCGGAACATCTCCTCTGAAATGTCTTTTTTGAAATGACGCTTTTTTATAGTTAAAAAATCCAGTAAAAGTTTTACCTCAATTCACTCCATATAACTTCAAAATCTTATTTTAACTTTGATTCGGACTAAAAATCTAATTCCGACAAAAAAAAATAGATTTGGACCGAAAGTCCGATTTGGGCCGAAATTTCAGTTCAGGTCAAAAATTGAGTTCTTCAAATCACAAACTCCATGGAACTTCAATTGAGTTGAGTTCTTCAAATCACAAACACTGTAGAACTTCAAATTTTCATGTCACGAAACCTCCCACTTTAGCTCTGATTACTTGGGATTTTGAAGAAATAAAATTGATTTCTTCAATTCACAAGGTTCTGAAGATATTTTAAACTGAATTTAAAATAAAAAAAAAATAAATTCACAAAGATTTGGGGTTACTTTAAACTCAGTATAAATTAAAAACTTTTAAAATGATAATTTTTTTTCAGTTATTCTAAAAGTTGAATTTTTTTTTGCCTCATTCGGACACAAATCCAAAAGTTGGATGTTCAAGCACCAGATGAAGGTCAGATTTTCAATTCCGGTATCAGACTGGTGCCAAAAATGTATAATATGTTTATGTAGTGCAATTGTGGCTCGAGTTAGAAGGGGTTTCAGACATTATGACGGACAGATAGAATTTGCAGTTTATTTATTTGGAAGACAAAAAGAAAACTTATCTTTCGCCTTCTGAGGGACTTTATCAAGGCAAATGCAAGGATTTTATTTTTTAACAAGTATTTATATGCAAGAGCAAAAATGTTATTGGTCTTCAAGTTTTTTAAAATTTAAGAACTCTCATAAATATTCACCCGGTTAGCCGAAAGGTCTAGGTAAGCTATGGAAGACGCCAAGTGACACAATTCAATGTCTAATAAATAAAAATGAGTAAATGATGTTCTTGAAACATTTATCTTATTACAGACTCGTTGCTTTCACTTAATTTGCCATTTGACTCAAAGACACCTCGGAGTAACGTAATAGTTAGCGAGGATAGTCTGGTTAATCATTACTATATAGTAATGAGTTTGATCCTTACTAGGTGACTCATACAAAATTCGACATTAAATAACACAGAAAGGGTCGACAACCAATCCCATACGTTTGACTCACAATTACTATGTAATTACTATGTAATTCAAATTCACAAACTAACACTTTAATCCACTTTGTTATTGTTCTGTAAAACAATCCTAAATTTAAAACCAGTTGCCTTGAACCTAGTGTTCTTACTGCTTGCTTGCTACCTTGCTGTCACGCTTGACCTCCTTTGCCCGCTCCTTCGTTTTCTTACTGCTGCTATTGAAGCTTTTGCTGACTAGCTTAGCTGACTTGTAATAAGAAATAATATCGAATCAAAAAAAATAAATAAATCCATTAATTACTTTAAAAAACACTTTCTTTATGTTCTGAGTATGGAAAACAAAGCTGGTATAGACTTCGAAATGTCCCAACAAGTGATGTGCATTTCTTAAGAAAGGCAATTGAGCTTTGTTTTGCTGTAGATGCCTCCGTGACTGAAACGGAAAAAGTACACCTGGCTATAAGGTAGTTTCCCTAAGAAATAAAGGAAATAGATTTCCAATACCTGTGGAGGTGTACATTTTCTTTAATATAACTTTCGATGCTTCTAAGCTGGTAGATATGAACTTCAGTGTTAGAAAAAGAAAAATACACAGTGTACTATCCTATTTCGACCTATGGGAGAATAAGGTTTAGTTTTAGAACTTTTGGGGAGAACTGATAACACAATTAATATCTGATAAAAGGCTCCAAACAGCTTGCCTCACGCTTGAATTCAGAGCTTTCCTTCTCCTAGACTGGTTGCTAACCAAAGCTGGAAACACCCCATTCTGTTATGGTGTTTAACCCATGGCTTGGGGCAGAAGCGAATGGATTTATACCTCTCTGTATTACTGCGAAAGTCAAAGCAACAAATTCGGCCGGAATTTGAACTTGGCATGCCGATCCGACTTTCCGTTCTGCTAACTACTATGTTACACTCAGATTCCCTTAATATATATATATATATATATATATATTGTGGCGTCCTCCCTCTGTTAGACTCTTCCGCCTACTATAAGATTAGTAGGAGAGAAGGCCTTAGGGGAACAGTCAAATAGATTGTTCATTACTGTCGAACTCTCTGCCTGGAAGGGCAAAGTTTCGTCCGGGGAGGTAGACAGACCCTGAACCCGTTTGTACGGGTTCTAAGGGAATATTTTTGGCAGAACTTACGCGCTCGGCGAACCCACGGGAAACTCAGCCTTGTGCCACATAAATCCCTCGTGGGTGGGGCTGTTAAATATTAACAGTCGAATAGATTGTTCATCACTGTCGAACTCTCTGTCTTGAGCAGAGAGGATCCCGGACGAGGCTTTGCCGAGGGCAAATTTTCGCCCGGGGAGGTAGAAAGGCCCTGAACCCGTTTATACGGTATCTAAGGGAATATATTTGGCCGATCCTAAGGACTCGGAGAACGCACGGTAAACTCGGCCTTGTGCCATATATATCCCTCGTGTGGGGGGGGGGCTGTCAAATATAACAGTCGAATAGATTGAGCGCTAGGTCATACGATACACACTCACTAGTCGTGTAATACTCTTCTGGTGTACTTGTTTAATATACGATATATCTGCAAACCTGGTTTTTGTTATTACTTAACCATTTACTTGGTCACAATAATATATATATATATATATATATATATATATATATATATATATATATTGTTCATATATATATATCACTCTCTCTCTCTCTTTTTATATATATATATATATAAAAAGAGAGAGAGTGATATATATGCATCTTCCATATTTGATTCCATCTCAGCAGACGTATATGAACCTACGTATATGTGTTGCGCAGATTTTTGGCATACGTGTGTGTATATGTGCGTGTGTATGTGTGCGGAGATTCCTTTCAAATGACTCATACATATACAATGTAGATTTCTGCCTATGTAGGCGTACGCATGGAGGTGGCTATATCTTTCGGATACGCTCGAGTGGAATAGTTTATGTCAGAAAAATAATTCGATCACAACAGAAGTTTACGCAAAAGATGCAACTAATAGCTTTAAATATCGGGTCTCTTTTTCACTTTCAATAAGCGTTTTTTTTTCTCGAAATGTACTCAGCTGAGCACCAGAAACTTTGCAAATTTATTAACGTCCAGATTGTTTGACAACTACTTTGAAAACTGTTTATAAAAGTGACAATTTTCTTTGTTTACAACGCTTTCGCAATTAGTATCATTTGAGAAAAATCTCAAACATTTTTGACTGTTCCATCGACTCCTTCCAACAAAAAAAATCAATTACTAGATTAACGTTACAAGTTCTTTTTTGGTTGATTTTACATCTCAATAGTTATATTTAATATCGAATATTGTATGTGGCACCTAGTGAGGATCAAACTCACTTCTAATGATCAGCCAGAACTAGTCTCATTAGACATTATCCTACGCAGTTTTACCCGCTGTTTAACCCTTTTCCGGATTAGTTCGTTTTCCTTACATATAACTTGTAGTTCGAAACGAAATAGCCGTCTTCGTGGCTATACTCATCATTTTTCTGGCCGTTACACTCTCCAACCTTCTCCAGGTGTCTGTTGTACTCCCTGACCTACTTGGAATATTGAACCGAATTCTGTATTCAATCTACGAGGTTAAATCGTACTAATTCCGTTTTTATTCATGCCTCTGACTACGCACCAGTTTTACGACCATATCATATGGCAACACCGGTTCTCGTCCGACCACCGAAGTTAAGCAACGTCGACACTGGTCAGTACCTAGATGGATAACCGCTTAAGAATACCAGGTACTGTAAGATTGGATGTGCGGGTGGTGCAGTGAATGTCAGGAAAATGACAAAGAATATCTTTCGTGTGAAGCGTTTTGTCTTCTTTTAGTTACTAAAGTACGAAACGCATCACTTTATATATATATATATATATATATATATATATATATATATATATATATATATATATATATATTAGGAAGAGGTTATAGTAGTTTCAACGATTGAAAAGTGTGTATATTAAAAAGAAAAGAGAAACCGCAAACGTTGTAATGTGGATATTTTTTTTAAATATTATGCTTTATTTTCTATAATTTTGCTACGTGTTTCCGGTCTGTCGACCGTCATCAGGCAAAGGGTGGAGATTTTCACATATTATTCAAAATAATTCATTTTTTTTCCTTTGTTTTTCGATGTTAAATATTCTCGATATGAAACATTCTCTGTTTTTTTGTTTTGTTTTGTTTTAATGTCTTTCTTGAACTGGCAGTGAAAAGTTCTGCGTCAAGAGTTATAAAAACAATTAAGATTGGTCCAAGAAATGATGGGGTAGTTATCAGCATTCTTATCCTTTAATGACCCCTGTGTGTTCTTAGATCTATTTCCATTTTCATGTTTTTTTGTCAGCATGTGTGTATATATGTGTATATTCCCTACATACTACACACACATACTCTCTCTCTCACACACTCTCTCTCACACACTCTCTCTCTCTCTCTCTCTCTCTATATATATATATATAGAGAGAGAGAGAGAGAGAGAAAGAGAAAGAAAGAAAGACAATGTGTGTGTGCATGTGTGAAATCAACAAGACAAGGCTTTATGATTTATTTAAAACGTTGACAGTGTTGATTTCTATGTCTGCCCTGTTCATATCGTCATATTGTTGTGACCAAATAAATGGTTAAGTACACCAGAAGAGCATTACACGACTAGAAAGAGTGTATCGAAAGAACTAGCACTCGACCTCTTCACTGTTCACTGAACCTTCTCTCCTACTATAAACTTATAGTAGGCGGAAGAGTCCAACATAGTCTCTTAGAGGGAGAACACGACAGCACATATTAAACAGTCTTCCCCATTAATATAACAGCATTTAAACAAATCTATGTCTCGTAGATTTGGGCAGCAATCTCTCTTTTATACATGTATTATTTATGTGACGGAAAAGGAAATTATTAATCTTCCATTTTTTTCTCTTCTGAAGACTAACTGACAGCTTAGACATACTGCTGTTTCGACACAGCTTAGAAAATAAACACAGAAAAATATACTAACAACAAACCCCTTGAACATGACTAATGAATTGACAGAAAACTCTTGAGACAATAAACACTACACTCTCTTCTTTCTCAACAAAAATCTAAAAGTATAAGCCATCAATTGCAGATACACCCTGATAAGGGGACGGATGGGTCCGTCTACGAAACTCTGAAGTTGAGATACTGAAGGTAGCATCAATCAACTAAGTAACAAAACTTTGACATATATATATATATATATATATATATATATATATATATATATATATATATATATATATATAAGGTAACCAAAAAGTTCTGTCCGTTTTTAAAGGAAAAAGAAAACGCTTCACAGTATGTGTAACTTATATTTAGTCTTCGAAGTAATCGCCATCGGCATCCAGCACCTTCTGCCAACGTGTCTCCAACTGTTCAATGCCCTTGCGGTAGAATTCGGCGGGTTTTGACGCAAAGAAGTCCGTGAGGGCTTTGCACAAGTCTGCTTCATTGGTGAAGGATTTCCCACGAAGATGATTATCCAGGGAGGGAAGCACTCGATTGAATAAGGATGCGGTACGGTGGCGAGAAAGCAGCGATACGCAGGCTACTACTCGTTGTCCCTTGTGGACCCCCAACAGCGTTTGTGGAATCCACTTACTTAGTTTGTACGTCTTACCTAGGCGGTGCAGGTGAAGTCTAACTGTTTCATCGGAAACGTTGAACTATCTTGCAAGTTCACCACACGTTAGACTACTGTCTTCTTCAATGGCCGCCTTCAGGACTCCGTCATTCAACACCTGTGGTCGGCCACTGCGTAGCTCATCATGGAGAGACAAATCTCCCGACTTGAATTTTCGAAACCAACGCCTTGCAGTACGTTCATCCACAGCACTATCCCCAAACGCTTGACATATGCGGCGACTTGATACAGCTGCTGATAAGCCAACTTTGAAGTCGTAAAGCAAACAGTCCCGAACGAGATCTCTAGACACTTCCATCCTTCTCACAGCTGTCCGGCTTATAACCGATGGCCGGGCACGGTGCGCGTGTTTTTTTTTTATAACGTCTGATGTTCCTACTTCCGGCTGTCCGAATTTGAAAACAATTGCGACACGCATTTCGTATATATTTCAACTTTATTCAATGCCTAATCAAAAAGCGGACAGAACTTTTTTGGTTATATATATATGTATATATATATATATATATATATGTGTGTGTGTGTGTGTGTGTGTGTGTGTAAGGAATCAGTGGATTCTTTATCCGGCATTATTATCTCCTTCTCCAATCGATACTTTGTGGCTATCCATGGTTGAATAGATGCCCTGTTCATTTTACAAAAGCCTATGTTATGACACCGGCCTGTGAATTCGAGAGAATTAATAAAGGGTTCAAACCTGCGTGGTTTCTCTTGCATAAGGTGGTGCAGGTTCGAACCCTGCGGGAGAACATATTTTCTTTATTAAATTTCACGAATGCACAGGGCGGTAGACGTAATTCACACTATTAAAAAAATTAACAGACCGTCCCTTCAAACATGGATATCCACATTTTATATTTTTATTTATATTTTATGTATTTTATTTATTGCAGCATGCGTATAGCATTATATATATATATATATATATATATATATATATATATATATATATATATATATATATATATATATATTTCAATTTAAAAAAAACAGACCATTTTAAGGCTCCATTTGTAATAATTTATTTCACCAGAGAATTTTATTTTTCTCTGGATCTTCAGACTTTACTTTCAAAAGGTGAAAAGAAAAATGAATTTCAAATTTACACTTTTGATGGGCAGTATTAAGCTTATATAAGTTTGTATAGAGGGTGGTGAGGAATGGTGTGAGAGACATGGTCGAGTTTTGAGTGGGAAGGGAGAGTTTTAAAATTTATTTTTATATTTCTATTTATTATAATACTTAATATTGAGGAAGGAAGTGGGTAAGGATCAGACATTGACCTATTTAATCGGTCAACTCAACGGAAATGATATGGGAAAAGGAAAAGGACAAAAAAGGGAAAAACAAAAAAAAGTGTGGAAGTAAAGAGATAAGAGATGTACGTAGGGTTTTTGGGGGAAGAAATTCAACTTCTCCACAAATAAATTAGGGATTTAATATAAGTCGAATATTATATTAATAAACAACAATAATAAAAAAAATAAAAATTTACTAATAGTAATATTTTAATATTGTGAATGACTGTTAAGGTAAAATCTTATCAGTCAGTTCATGAATTTAATTTGTAGCTATTTTTAGATGGGTATTATTTCTTAATTAAAGTTTAGGTTTCAAATCAAGATGGAGTAAGATTTGAAGGTAATAGTAAAAAAAATTACTGTTTTTTCATACATACAACACATGCATATTTACGTAAAAACACATACACATACATTCATGTACATGTACAATTACACATATAACCACATACACATGTATCGATATACATCAGTACATATGCATATACATATACAAATATATATATATATATATATATATATATATATATATATATATATATATATAAAGTGAACATATAAGTCAACATAGGGCGACAGTCTGTTTCATGCTAGATGCAATCGTCTGGCCTGACGATTGCATACAGCATGAAACAGACTGTCGCCTTAAGTGTCGACTTCTATGTTCACTTTTTATTCCCATAAATATAGCACTTTTATAATAACTATATTTCTTCATATATATATATATATATATATATATATATATATATATACAGAAACACACACAAGATGCGATGGGTATATTATCGCTATATTATATTTTTAAATTCGTGCATGTACATTGTTCGTTTTTAATATTGTAGACTGCAAAGTATAGTAGGGTCAGTTGGGCACCGTCTGTGAGAAAAAGAGCAGCATGACGTAATTCACTTCAATAGAAATTTGGAAACGGCATGTTGTAATGTTTGACATTCACGCCGGAAGCTACTATACGAACATTTCAGAGTATTTGGGTGTCAATCTGAGGACAGTGCAGAGGACTCGGAAAGAAATGGGTGAGTCTAATGAGGATTACGAAGGTGTTTGGAATGATCACTGGTGATGATGACGTTATGCCCCTCCTTCATATTCCCAAATGGCCTCAGACTAAACACGGAGGCCTACATCCTGCCTTGGGTTAAGAGGAAGGTGACCTAATGTCTGGCAACAGGACTCTGCATCATGCCACACAAGCAGGAGAACCTAGTCATGGCTGTCAGACAATTTCTGCGACCACATCACACTTTACATCTGGCCACTTAACTCCCCAGACTGAAACTCCTTTGATTATTATTTATGGGGAACAATAGAGCGAGAGACGAACAAAACTCCTTGTAACACCAAAGATGAACTGAAGGCAAGAATTATGGTAGCATTCACCAACTTAAACAAGTAGACCGCCCAGAAGAGTTGCAAGAGATTCCGAAGTCGCCTGGAGGCCGTGTCTGAAGCCATTGGCGATTTAATTGAATACATTTATTTTAGTATTGCAAGATATTTTTTTGCAATTTTGTTAAATATATCTGTTAAAATGAGATGTCAGTGTTATTTTCATTTTTGCGTCATTTGTAATTGAGACGACAATTCATCCATCGCACTCTGTATATACAATACTTATAATTTTTGTGTATTTTTATTTATTACGGCATACGGTTATATCACATTGAAACACCGACACGTCGAGCTACCTGATTAGAACTTAGATGGGTGACAACTTTTGAATATCAGGTGCTGTAAGTTTGGGTGTGTGGATGGTGTAAA